TACCTCAAACATGCTAGGCAAGTGCTCTACCACTGAGCCACAATCCCAGCCCAGTACTAAAATTATTAAGCAACTACAAAAACCCCAAATAATCAAAACAATACTACAATAGAAAAGAAGATTCAGAAACATCATATTCTGATTTTTTTAAAAGATTATATTACAAAGTGCCCAGCATGTGCAAAGTCCTTGGGTTCAATCCTCAACACTGCAAACAAACAAAATAAAACAAAAAAATACTACTGGTATAAAAAAAAACAGACATCAGACAAGTGGAATAGAATAGAAGGCTCAGAAATAAATTTAAACAAATATGGTCAACTAATTTTTGACAAATGTAGCAAAAGGACACAATGGTGAATGGATAGTATCTTTAATAAAGGTTGTTGAGAAAAATGGGATTTCTACTTGCCAATGGATGATTACACTATTATACCATACACAAAAATCTGTTCAAAAGAAACAAAAGATCTATAGGATTTAAAACCATAAAACTTGTAGAAGAGAACACAAGTGAAAAATTCTTTGACATCAGCCTTGACAATGATTTTTTAAAAATACTACATCAAAAGGCTAAAAAACAAAAACAAACAGGATTATATCAAACTATGAAGCTTCTACACAACAAAGGAAAGAATCAACAGAATGTAAAAGAATGTAAAGGAAACATACAGACTAGGAAAAATAATTGCAAACTACATATCTGAGAAATAGTTAAGTTGCCTTATAACTTAGTAGTAAAAAAATGGGAAATTTAATATTTAACAGTTCTGGTAAAAAGTTTGTGAATATTATATGTATATATATCTGCACACATATTTTGTGAATTATATAATTTTTTTAAACTTGAAGAACATGAAAATCATGCTTTTAGAAGTACTGTTTATAGTGAAGAAACTCAGCTACAGTCTAAATAAACCTTTTTATTGTGAATGCTTCTTACAGTTTCTTATAAAAAGTACCATAAAATCAGTATTCTAAATACATACATCTGACATGGACTTTTCTACACCTGTAGAAAGAAAGCACTATTTTTGCTAAATGTAAAGGCTGTTATTTGCAGATCTGTTCTACTGCTCTAAGTCATTGATGGTTACAGGCTTTATATTTAACCTGAAATACAAAGCATTTTCTTCTAGGCTTGAAGTTAAATCATTTCACAAAGTGTATACAGGTAAATTCTGAGTTACCTTTGTCTTGCTACACGTACTTGAAAAACAAGGTTAAGTGTTTGTCCAGGTATGCATTGTGTATGGCATCAGGTATATTCTTTTCTTCTTCTGCCTGTCTGGAGGTGCTTTCTATGCACCTATCCTCAAGCTCGCCATTATGAATTTTAACAACAACAGAATAATTTTTTCCTGCTACTTTGATGAAAGGTCATGCTTAGTGGGCTGACTTGTCTATTACTTATATCCAATTATCTTGGAACACACTGTATACATTACGTAGGGTAAATACAAATAGAACATTTAGGACTTTTGCATTTATGCATAAATGAGATTGGCTAGAAGGACCTCTCCCCTTCTGGGGTGTTCCCATAATCAAACTCAATGAAATGAATTAGGTGGCTTTGCATTGCTGAAAATTTATGTGGGAATCATCTCTTCTCTAAAGGAGGGAAAGAACTCTTTTATAAAATTTCCTGAGTGAAATGATAAGTGCTATAAAGAAAAATAAAGTAAGGTAAGGGGATTGAGTGAGCAGGCCTTCTTTTTTAGATGAGGTGGATAGGAAAGGCCTCTCAAATAAGCAGAAACCATAAGAAAGCAATAGAGCAGGCAAATATTTAAGAGAAGAGCATCCTAGGCAGAGCAAAAAGAAAGCCAAAAGACTTCATTTTTATTATTTCTGTTCATCTTAAATTCCCTCTCACCATTTGACCCAATTATCCCACTCCTTGGTATATACGCAAAGGATTTAAAATCAGCCAATAATGACTCAGCTGCATCAATATTTACAGCAGCTCAATTCACAGTAGCTAAGCTATGGAACAAACCTATATGCCCTTCAACAGTTAAATGGATAAAGAAAATGTGATATATAATAGAATATTACTCAGCCATAAAGAAGAATGAAATTATGGCATTTACTGGTAAATGATGGAACTGGAGACTATCATGCTAATAGAAATAAGCCAATTCCCCCAAACTAAAGGCTGGATGTTCTCTCTGATACGTGGATGCCAACACACAACAAGGGGTGGCAGGACAATAGCATTTCATTGGATTAGACAAAGGGGAATGAAGGGAAGGCAGAGGGATAGGATGAATTGGTCATAACTTTCCTATGTTCATATATGAATATACCACCAGTGAAATTCCATATCATATACAACCATAAGAATGGGATCCTAATTAGTATAAGTCATACTCCATGTATGTATAATGTCAAAATACACTCTACTCTCATGTATATCTAAAAAGAATAATTTTTAAAAAAAATTTTGTTTTTAAGTAAGCTTCTAGGCCATAAGTCACAAAACTATCCCTAATCTACAAGAGAGGTCAGAAAATATATGATGTTAATGAGCACACTGTTTGCTGCCATAAATGGAATCAGGATTCCGTTAGCAAGGAAGGATGAGAGAATAAATATTGGATAATCTGCTAGCAATATCTTTCATAAATCCTTTGGACCTGGCAAATATTTCTGTAGATTCCCATACTATGTGGATTGCTATCAAGCATTAAAAAATGGAAAGGTATCCAATTTATTTCATGAAAGTAGCCAGCAGCCCATATTAAAACCTGATGAAGATGGCTGAAAAGGAAAATTGTAGACCAGGTTAACTTATGTATAAAGCTGCCAAAATGCAAACATGCCAGTTTTTTAGTACTTTTAAAAGAATCATCCATCATGATCACGTAAGGTTCATATTATAAATGCAAGAACACTTTAATATTAGAAAATATTTTAATGTAATATGACATATAACAAGATCCAATAAGAAAAAAATATGATAAAGTAGATAAGGATTTGATAAAAGTCAGCGTTCATTTCTGATTAAAAAACTAGGCTTAGACAACTAAGACTAGAAATAGATTTTTTCCTTTCTCCTCCTTCCCTCCCCCCTTTTTTTCTTTCTTTGTGTCTTTTCTTTTTTGGGGGGAGGGTATCAGGGATTAGACCCAGGGGCACTTAACCACTGAGCCACATCCCCAGTTTTTTTTAATTTTTATTTTGAGACAGGGTCTTGCTGAGTTGCTTAGGGCTTTGCTAAGTTTCTGAGGCTGGCTGGAACTTGTGATCCTTCTGTCTCAGCCTCCCGAGCTGCTCGGATTGCAGGTGTGCACCACTGCAACTGGCTAGAAATATATTTCTTTAATGAAATAAAAATATTTATCTTCCTATTCTGGCCAAGCTTATTCCATTTCAAAGGACAACAGTGTATTTTACATATCTCAAAACTTTTGATTCTGTGACTTCAAAATACACATTTAAAGAGTATCTGAAATAGTCTGACATAAAACCATAATAATGTATTTCTAGGTACTTTTGGAAACTTGTTATAAGATTCTCTTATATATACTACTAGCACATTCCTCCTTTCCTCTGCAGGTCAGATCTTTTTAACTTTCTTTTTAACATATATTAGTCAATGAACCTAGTTTGGTAGGATTCTGAATATACCTATTTTAGATTCATGGAAAAATAACACCCACTCATTCCTGTTTTTTTCCATGTTCGTGTAAAAATGTGGTTACTGGTAATATTTTCTTTGAACTTTTAGAATTGAGTAGTTTTTAAAAATAAAATTATCTATTCCTTTGTGAAATGCATAAGAATTTGCTCTGATAATAAATAGATAAAGGCTTTAAATTTTGAAAACACTGATATATGTTTTATACCAATATTTTTAGATCTTATTTTTTTTTTGCCATAACCCACATTAAGGAATATTTACACCTTGACCAAGTATGCACACAATGTACACACATTCTATAACATATTTGTATAATTAAATATTTCACAGAACTTACTGAGGATCTATGCAAATTCTGATATTATCAGTTCTATTCTACTTCATTTACAAAAATTGGTATCAATCCACCAAAATGATTTTATAACCCATCACTATAATTTGATAAAACACTGTTTTATTTATTTTTTTCCGTTTTTTTTTTTAAAAATTTTTATTGTTGGTTGTTCAAAACATTACATAGTTCTTGATATATCATATTTCACACTTTGATTCAAGTGGGTTATGAACTCCCATTTTTACCCCGTATACAAATTGCAGAATCACATCAGTTACACATCCATTGATTTACATATTGCCATACTAGTGACTGTTGTATTCTGCTGCCTTTCCTATCCTCTACTATCCCCCCTCCCCTCCCCTCCCCTCTTCTCTCTCTACCCCCTCTACTGTCATTCATTTCTCCCCCTTGTATTATTTTCCCCTTTCCCCTCACTTCCTCTTGTATGAAATTTTGTATAACCCTGAGGGTCTCCTTCCATTTCCATGCAATTTCCCTTCTCTCTCCCTTTCCCTCCCACCTCTCATCCCAGTTTAATGTTAATCTTGTTCTCATGCTCTTCGTCCCTACTCTGTTCTTAGTTACACTCCTTATATCAAAGAAGACATTTGGCATTTGTTTTTTAGGGATTGGCTAACTTCACTTAGCATAATCTGCTCTAATGCCATCCATTTCCCTGCAAATTCTATGATTAAAACACTGTTTTAGAACATGTTTTTCAGCATCCTTGTAGTCCAATTTTGTTGTTGACATTAACTTTTCCTGTGGTAAGAGATGCTTTTGGTGCTAGTTTTTCTATAATCTCTAGGAGGATTGTGGGATAGGAATTTCCTAAATGATTTTTTTTCTTTCTGCAGATCTCATGTGTGAATATAAATCTAGTACATCATTAACCTAAGGACCTTACCAATTGGAAATTGCAGTTTTCACCTTCAACCTACCATATCCTTTTTGATTATTCTCTTCCTAAAAAAGTGTAAACATCTTTCAAGTTATTTTTGTTGCAGAGCTAAACAAATGGCTGATAGTGACTTGAATAAAATATCTAGACAATGCCCCCACTGTTCATCTACCCTGCAGAATAATGGACTTAGATTATGTTCTTGCGCATCAAACTATTCTCCAGTTTTGGTGGTAGAAATGTCACAGACATCAAGCATTGCCAGTTCAGAAATCGTAGTTTCAGCAGAGAGAAAAAAAGAAAAAAGTATCAGCAGAGAACCTTCTGGGAAAGATTTGGTAAATATCAAGGATTCTACATCTTATTATAAGTTAACATCCCATTATTTAATCCCTTTCTTAATTCCCTCTCATGAGCCCTTGTCAGGTAATTAATTTCCTTCTTAACCATAAAAGAAACATTTCTGGGCTGGGATTGTAGCTCAGTGGTAGAGCACTTGCCTAGCATATGTGAGGCATTAGGTTCGATTCTCAGCACCTCATATAAATAAATAAAGATAAAGGTCCAACTAAAATATTTTAAAAAGAAACATTTCTTACAGAAGAGGTGAGCAAAGTTGGTTAATTGTATGTTTTATGATATTTCCAACTAATACCCAAATTAATTATTTTTCAGGATCCACAACAATTAGCAATGTCTTTCCAGCCCTTTAAACAAATGGGTTATAAGGATTGATTTTTCAAATTGAATCAAATCTGAATTTTTGAGCATTTTCTTCCACTGATGCAGAATGAGACTTATGTCTATGTTTAAATAAAGTGTGATTATGGTTTATTATTTAAGGGAATTTCTGGTTTTCTAACTGGAATTTCAAATATACTTTACAAAAATCAGTTTGCATTAGTTACAAACAATCTATAGATACCCAGTTGAACTGATTTGTCTATATTTATCCACATAAAGAAGAGGCAGTATAGAAGAGTATAGTTGATACAGTACAATTTTTGAGACAGAAAGCAGTTAAATTTAAGAAAAGTCATGTTCTCACTCCCCCAAATTGAACCTGTTTCACATTTTCCCCATCAACTACTATTTACTACTTGAATTATATAGTTATGGCCATGTAGGTGTCTCTGAGTGAGTTATTACTATGTTATCTTAATTCAGAGAATATTGGATTATTTAAATTAGAGTTCGTTATCAACAAGAATATTGTATCTTAAAGTTATTTTTCAAAATTCCTTTTTGGTTCTAGACCTCCAGAACCTCAAATGTAGAAAGAAAACCATGTCAACAACAGTGGAGTCGGTGCAACATTTCAGAAGGAAAAGTTCCTCACATAAGGATGGAGGATGGATCTTCTATTGAGGTATACAGGAAACAAGCGGAAGCTTCTAGGGACTTGCAGGTTGCTTCTAAGTCAGTGGTTAGTGGCAAAAAAAAAAAAGATTTCAAAATCAGCTTTTAAGGAAAATAAGTAAAGTAAGGAGGAAAATTTCCATTTTCAAGTATGTCAAAGTTTTTCAAGGAAAAAAACAAACAAGGGAAACAAAAAAAAGCAAGGGAAAGAATTAAATTACAACAGATGGGGTAGAGAGAGAAGATGGGAGGGGAGGGGAGGGGGGATAGTAGAGGATAGGAAAGGTAGCAGAATACAACAGTTACTAATATGGCATTATGTAAAAATGTGGATGTGTAATCGATGTGATTCTGCAATCTGTATTTGGGGTAAAAATGGGAGTTCATAACCCACTTGAATCGAATGTATGAAATATGATATGTCAAGAGTTTTGTAATGTTTTGAATAACCAATAAAAAAATTAAAAAATTTAAAAAAAGTTTTTCAAGGATTAAACTCAGGGGCACTCAACTACTGAGCCACATCCCCAGCCCTATTTTGTATTTTATTTAGAGATAGGGTCTCACTGAGTTGCTTAGCATCTTGCCATTGCTGAGGCTGGCTTTGAATTTGCAATCCTCCTTCCTCAGCCTTCTGAGCTGCTGGGATCACAGGTGTGTACCACTGTAACCCACTCAAAAGTGTTTACTCAAGAAAGTGCAGGCTAAATTTCTTGCTCATAGAGGATGAAATGGACTTCAGTAAAGAAGAGGGCATTTTTATTAGAAAAAAGGAGAACATTTTGGTGTAATGTTGGCTGTCCCTCAAAGTACAGTGCATATGTGGACTCCTTGAAGATGTAGAAGCCACATGACTTTTGATACTTTAGCTGTTCATCTCCTTGGTGATTGATAGGGAGGCCACAGTTTCCCTTGTAATCTTTCTGTCTTTTCCATATTGGATCAATACCAGTATTATTCTTCAAGGATTTTGATTATTATATAAGAATATGAATTAAATATTAGAGCCATTAAAAATTAAATTGTGTCCCTTTAATACGAGATTGAAGAAACTATAATAAAAATAATTACAAGAAGAATTTTCATTCATGTTAAGTAGTTTTTTAAATTGTGTTAGGAGATACTTGGCAATTTATCTGGAGTGATCAGGAAAACTTCCTAGGAAACTTTGACATGAAAAGTTTAAACATTCTTCCTTTAAATAAAAGTTCTGCACTTTACAAAGTCCACAAATTTAGCTATAAGAACTTTTCAAAAAGCAAAATGTGTTCACTGTGAAAGATCATGAACATGCAGATAAAAAGTGAAGAAAATAAAAATCATCACACAGTTTTAGCCAATCTAATTTATTATCTTCAGCTTTTTTCTATTTATGTACCAGTTATACTCTATTTTTCTTCAAAAAGTCTGTTTTAAATTAAGAAATATTTCAAGTATATGTACATTTTAAAGAAATAATCTGAATTTGTATAGTTGAAATTCAAACTTCTTTCCCCCATAGCATGGACAAACTCACTATAAATATTTTTATCATTTCAAAGAGTATAAAGAATGAAGTTACAATCATCTGCAAGTCTACTACCTATAACCACTCTTAATATTTAGATGACATCTGTCCACACACCAATGTAAGTGCCTTATCCTACCCACGTGTTGTAAAGGGATTGTAAGTACATGGTTTTCACACTCTGCTATATCATCAACTTCCTCTGTGTCAATAAAAATAGATTTAAATTATCATTTTAACAGCATCCTCTTAAAATTATTAGAGACAAGAAATCATTTTCTCCTTATTTTAACTAGTATATAACACTATCAGAGCAGTTAGTTGAATAAAACTAAAAGTTATAAAACACTGTGCACTCCTCATTTTTAAAAAATCCAACTTAATCAGTACTAAAATACTGTATTTAGAATGTGGTTCCATATATTTAAAGAGGACAATTAAGGTTGGTTTTGTTTTAAAGGACAAGACAAATTTGGGACATAGTTATGAAGAGATTATTCTGTGGGAAAAAAGGGTAAATGACTATATTAATTGAGATTTAATTCACTTTACATACTATATATGTGGGAGTTATACGTAAATATAATAAAAAATAAAATTATACTTTGTCCTATTTTCTGATTAATCATCTGAGTTTTCTGACTTTGATTCTCACTACTACACTATTATGTGGTATTGGGGAAGAGGGAGGAACTAGGTCTTTTAATGGATACAACAGAAACAGCTCTTTAAGGAGCTTCTATTCTGTCTTGGAATAAAACAAAAGCCAAAACAAGCATGATAGTAATAATAGTTTTTGAAGACTAATATAAACATGCTGAAGGGAGTATAAATAAAGTAACAGTCATCGTTGTGCAGAGTTAGGAAGGAAAGCTCTCTGAGAAGGGATTAAGTCATTGGGCATTTCTTGTAGAAAACTAAGAAAGGAGTGTAAGCAGTGAGGAATAGGAGCAGTTGATTTAGCTGTTAAATGATAAGCAGAAAGAGTCTTGGTCTGGATGGTGGAATTGTGGATGTGTTCATTTTCTTCTCAGTGCTAATTTTTTAAATTTTATTTTTTATCTACATGACAGTGGAATGCATTACAATTCTTATTACACATATAGAGCACAATTTTTCATATCTCTGTTTGTATATAAAGTATGTTCACACCAATGATGTCCACCACATTCCACTATCATTGCTAACCCTCTGCCTCCTCCTTTCCCCTCCCACACCTCTTCCCTATCTAGAGTTTGTCTATTCCTCCCATGCCCCCCTCCCTACCCCACTATAAGTCAGAGTCCTTATATCAGAGAAAACATTTGGCATTTGTTGTTTGGGGATTGGCTAACTTCACTTAGTATTTATTATCTTCTCCATCTCCATCCATTAACCTGCAAATGCCATGATTTTATTCTCTGTTATTGCTGAGTAATATTTTATTGTGTATGTATGCCACATTTTAAAATTCATTCATCTACTGAAGGGCATCTAGGTTGGTTCCACAGTTTATCTATTGTGAATTGTGTGGGGGAAAAGGCACACTTGTACATTGCTGGTGGGACTGCAAATTGGTGCAGCCAATATGGAAAGCAGTATGGAGATTCCTTGGAAAACTGGGAATGGAACCACCATTTGACCCAGCTATTCCTCTCCTCAGTGCTAATTTTTATTCAAATTTCTGTCACATATTGCTTTTTCTAAAACAAAATGTGAAAAAAATAAGAGTAATAACTAATAGAGATAATGAAAAAGAGAAAACATTAATTGTAAACAATAAAGCAATTGTTCAATGGGTGTATATATTGATTTTGTAGTATAACTCCGAGTTTTGGGATAATTTTTTTGGTGACTGAATAAATTGTATATATATATATATATATATATATATATATATATATATATGCAAATGTGTGTGTATATTACCATTCCATTTCTTTTTTCTTCTGAAGATATTTTATTAATATTTATAAAGATATTTCATTAATATTATAGTTTGAAAGTGACTCATTTTACACTTTTGAGTTTTTCCGTATTTCACCATTTGGAATTTTATAGTTTCCCTCCAAAGGGGATAGTTAATAAAATTCATCAAAACTTATTTTTTGTTAATTAAGATTTTTTATGAATACTGAAGCAAATAAGTAGCGTCATCTCTTTGATTTTATCCTGTAACAGAATCTCTCTTCCCTTGAGCGGATACCTGTCAGTATTATGTGCTCATTTTTAATACCCGATGAATGGCAGAGAAAGACAAAAGAACTCTTATTTTGTCTCCAGGATTTCTATACCTTTGGAAGAATATTGGGACAAGGGAGCTTTGGACTGGTTGTTGAAGCTACAGACAAGGAAACAGAAACTAAGTGGGCAATTAAAACAGTGAATAAAGAAAAGGTAGGGCTTGTTAGCAGAATCCCATTGAGGACACAGTGTGGTGTGGGTTGATGTGGGCAGTGCAATTTTTCACACTAATACAAGCTGTGTCTGAGCCTGAGGGCCAGGGCCTGACAGTGGAGAAGTGTGGGCATTGCTCTTGCTTCCTGGGAAGGGACTGATACTTGAGCTCAAGTAGACAAGTGCTATTTGGAAAAAGCAAATGAAAGGATAACACAATCAATATAACCAAATAGGTAAATTTTTACCAGAATGAGTTGAAGGTAAGGGCTGGTGTTCATTAGGATAGGCACAGGGCTGTGGGCTGGAGACATCTTAGCTATAAGTAAGTCCTGATTGTCCCCTGTGGGGTTTTGTTATACTTTTCACCTATCCTTCCATTTGATTCCTCATCGTTAGCTAAAGAATTTTGTTTATTCATCCTATCTGCTCTTTCAGTTTGAACCACTTTGTCTCACAATTGTCTAATACATTGTCACTTGTATTCATTATATTTCTCATTACATTCACTCTTGGAGTGAACAAACGGGCTTCTCTTTGAAGTGGAGTCTAATATACTTTATACCAGAGCATTTTTATCAACTGTAAAAAATTTCTATGCCTGGAAAAAAATCACAACATTATAGTGTTTTCTCCTTGAATCTGTAATGATAAATATTACTTTTGTAAAATTAAACAGTAAGTTTTGAATATATTCTTTAAAAATAAACTGTAGCAAATTTCTCCCTAATGTTCAATAAGGTAACAGATCAATCTTTTTGGGGGGGCACAGGGGATTGAATTCAGGGGCACTCAACCACTGAGCTACATCCCCAGCCCTATTTTATATTTTATTTAGAGACAGGGTCTCACTGAGTTGCTTAGCACTTTGCCATTGCTGAGGCTGTCTTTGAACCAGCAATCCTCCTGCCTCTGCCTTTGGAGCCACTGGGATTACAGATGTGTGCCACCGCACCTGGCACATTTCAAATCTTAATAAGATTAATAAAGCAATTAAGAGTCTTTCTAGAAATCTTTAGAATTCTTTAAGGTTCTAGGAAGCAACCCACAATGCTACCCAGGGTATCCTTTCCACCTTTATTTTGGTTTCAGGTAGGTTAGGGGTCCAGTTTTAGGGCTATATAGACAAGATACTTACTTGCAACTTTAGGAATTACTCTTTCACATACATATTGATGTTGAGAGTTTATGGGAAACTATGATATTACAATAAGATTATATAGGTTAAAGTTATAATATATAATTGAACAAAATTATTGCATTATGAACAGGTCAAGATATTTGGGTTGAGAGAAAGGAACAGAACTAAGATGGCTATTAGGAGAAATTATGTTAACTTTCCATATCTAGTCTAGACAAGAATTCACTCCTTATAGTCACTATTTTTCTTGATCTTCTAGGTTAATCTTAAAATGTGTTTTCATCCTATATGGGTGGGTTATACATGGTAGGGGAAGTGTCAGTATCCTAGACATCCCAAGATGGTATAGATTGAAAAATGAAGTTGAGTGGAAGCAGGAATAACTTTAGATAAAATTTTAACTGGATGATGTGAGCTTTGTGATAAGTCACTTTCCTTTCAGAATTATTTATGTACCTTTCCAAAGTGGGGTTGGGTGGTAAGTGAAGGAGTAAGTCCTTTATTATCCCTGTCAAGGACATTTTAAAATTTGTCCTTTCAAAGACATTTTTATGTGGAACTAGGACTCATAAAGGAAGATAGTGCTTATCCTCAAATAATGGAAATTATCAGTAGGGTTGATGATTTGGGGTGGGGTGGTGGTGGTGAGGGTAGAGAAAACTTCTCTAGAGTTTCTTAGATGACATTGTACATAGTTACCTACATGCTAAATGAAGTCCTTGTGCTCCCTGGAGTGTTCCTGCCTTTACCTTTGCTACCAGGCATGGTAAATGTTAGCTGTTAGGAGTTAAAGTAGGGATTAGGTTGATCTGAAAGCAAGGTAGTCTCTGCCTCTTTAGGTTAATCAGGGGATCAGGAAGAAACATAATCCAGGGTTGAATGCAGAATCTCACTGCCTATGTATTTTTTCTTTTTTTTTTTGGGGGGGGGGTACTAGGGATTGGTTCTAGAGGTGTTCTACCACTGAACTATACCCCCAGCCCATTTTATTTTTTAAATTTTGAGACAGGGTCTCACTAAGATGCCCAAACTGGTCTCAAACTTGCAATCCTCCTGCCTCAGCCTCCCTAGTAGGTGGGATACCAGGTGGGATTCCAGGAAATGTATGTATTTCCTTTGATATACATAAGTTAAATAAAAACAAAACAGCAACAAAAGAAAAACATTTTGTTATAAAAACATCTCCAATTTGTGTCCCTAGAAAATTTTGTTTTTATTATGTTAACATCAAAAGGTCAATATGATTTTGAGGGAAATATCAAAAAGCATACTAAAAATTAGAATAATTTTGTGAGGGGACAGATGCCATCTTGTAGCTAATTTACAGAAACAGTTTAAGAGATAGATATAGTTTGAGGCCAAACTAAATATAATTTGAAATTGCATGAAGGAAAGAAGAGCATAATTTAGTCTGATCATGGGATAAACTAAATGATATCATTTAAAAAGGAAATTTCTCAGGTAATATAGATAAAAGCAAAAAGCAATTTTATATCGAGGAATGTGAGAGTGACATTCAAATGTGAAATCTATGTTTTTTCATTGATTAAGGCTGGAAGCTCTGCTGTGAAGTTACTTGAACGGGAGGTGAATATCCTAAAAAGCGTAAATCATAAACACATCATACATTTGGAACAAGTATTTGAGACACCTAAGGTAAAGTTCTATCGGATACTATGTTTTGAAAGTTGTTACTATTGCAAAATGAATATAATTTCATTCTGCAGTAATTCCTTTGGGGCACAGTTGTTCATGTCCTTGGCATGAGTCTGACATTGGAGATTGATGAGAATATTCTGGAGGACTTTTATTATTGATTGTATAATTAGGTGTCTGGTGATTGATTGATGTCTTTAGTAATATGTTCTGGGTGGCATGGTGGAAACAAATGTTTAAAATTACAACTTCATACTCAACCAGTTAGTGATTAGAGCTTCCTTAGAGATGGCATTCCTTTAGCTTTGGTTCTTAGTCTCTCCATTAGAATTTCTTGGAATACTGTCATAATTTTGAAAAATTAGCTTTATAATCAGCTTGGCATAGTATATTTGGTATTATGTATAAAACATTTCATCATCTGTATCATTCCAATGTATATTTTTCTTTCCTAAATGTTATCATTTTTCTATTTAAATGCCTGTAATTTTCACTTAGAGTTGTTTAGAAGCCTGGCTTATTTTCAATTTTGCCTCTAGATTTTTTAGTGCTTGTGGACTTGGGTGTTTCTCGGCTTGGAAGTACTATGATATAGTGGTTAGTTATGTAGATTCCAAGATCAGATTTCCTGTGCATTTGAATCCTGATTCTACCACTTACTAGCCATAAGACCATGACCAAGGCATTCAATTTCTCTATTCCTCATTTGCTCATCTGTAAAATGGATTTAATAATAGTGTTGATTTCATTTGTACATTGAAGGATTAAATGGGAAAATGGATATGAAGTATCTGTTTCATTAAATGTTAGTTATTGATTTTCATTTTCTTTGACAGTTTTTAAGGGTCCTCTGTTCATTTTTTCCAACATTTTTTCTTTCCATATTTTATTTTGTATAATTTATATTGATGTGTCTTAATGTTCAGTAATCTCTTCTTCTATAATGTTAAGTGTGCTATTAATCTCTTCCAGTGGAAATTTTATTTATGTATGTGTGTGCATGTATGTGTATGTGTGTGTATGTATGTGTATATATGTACATTCCATGTGTCTACTTAACATACCTAATCTTTCTTCCTTCTTGAAGTCATAATAACTATTTTAATGTCCTTTTACTGCTAATTTTACATTGTATCATTTCTAGAACAGTTTCAACTGATTGATATTTTTCTCCCTTTATTATGGGTTATATTTTCAGACTTTGTACACCTATTAATTTTTGGTTGGATACCAGGCATTCTGAATTTTACCTTTTTGGATACTTCCCATTTTTATATTCTTTTTTTTTCAAATTCTTATTGCTTTTATTTTCTTTTCTCTTTTTAAATTAATGTGTTACAATTATACACAATAGTGGACTTTATTATGCCCCATTCATACATGCACATAGCATAATTTAATTAATCTCATTCCCCAGTATCTTCCCTTTTCCTCCCCCGATCTGCTTGCTCTACACTTCTAATCTCCCTTCCATTCTTATTATTATTTCAATTAGTACAATATATATATATATATATATATACATATACATATACATATACATATATATATGAATACATATATGTAGAGAATACATACATACATAGAATACATATATAGAAAGTATATATATTACATATATACAAAATCCACTGGGGTTTATTCATACATGGACATAGTATAATTGGGTAGATTTTGTTACCCTTTATTTTCCCATGTTCTCCCCTCCTCCCTCTCTCTCTGGATACCCTTCCTCTACTCTGTTGGACTCCCTTTTGTTTTCATGCAATCACCCCTTTTTTCTCTGTCTCTCTACATTTGCATATGAGAAAAAATTTTCTATCATTGACTTTCTAAGTCCTGCTTATTTCATTTAGCATGATGTTCTCCAGTTCCATACATTTACCAGAAAATGACTAAATTTCATAATTTATGAAAAGCTTCGTTGAGTATATATACCACATTTTCTTTATCCATTTGTATGTTGAGGGGAACCTAGAGAAGTTCTATAACTTGGCTATTGTGAACTGCACTGCTATAAGCACTGATGTACATGTATCACTATAGTATGTTGATTTTAGTTCTTTTGGATAAATCACAAGGAATGGGATAGCTGGGTCATATGGTGGTTTCATTTCTAGTCTTTTTGAGGAATCTCCATAGTGATTTCCAAAGTGGTTGTACTAATTTGCCATCCTACCAAATATATATAAGTGTACCTTTCCCCATTATTTTCACCGTGTATTATTATTTGTATTCTTTTTTATTGGTTCTTTTTAGTTATGCATGACAATAGGATTCATTTTGACATAATTATAAAAGCATAGGATGTAATTTGTTCTAATTCAATCCTCAGTACTACCCCTTTCTCTCCCCCTGTTACCTTCCCTCTACTCTACCGATCTTTCTGCTATTTACTTATACGTTTTTTTTTATTAGTGTATTTTAGATGTACATGATGAGATTCACTGAGGCATATTTATATATGTACACAGAAAAGTTAGGTCAGATTCATTCCACTGTCTTTCCCTATCCCATCTCACCTCCCTTCCCTTCATTCCCCTTTGTATTCTTTGTATTCTTGATGGCTGCCATTCTAATTGGAGTCAGATGAAACCTCAAGTGTAGTTTTAATTTGCATTTCCCTTATTGATAGGGATGTTGAATATTTTTTCATATATTTATTGGCCATCTATATTTCTTTTTTAGAGAAATGTGTTGATAATATTTGTCCATTTATTGATTGGGTTATTTGGGTTTTTTGAAGTTAAGTTATTTTGAATTCTTTATATATTCTGAATATTAATCCTCAGTTGGAAGAGTAACTAGAAAAAATTTTCTCCCATTCTGTATGCTCTCTTTTCATGCTCTTGTTACCTTTGCTTTGTAGAAGCTTTTTAATTTGATGCCATTCCACTTATTGATTCTTGGTTTTATCTCTTGAGCTTCAGAAGTCTTATTAAGAAATTGGTACCTGTACCAGATATTTTTATATTCTTAAAACTGTTCTTGACCTTTAATCTAGCATATAGTTAAGTCACTTGGAAATAGTTTGATACTTTTGAATCTTGCTTTAATCTTTGTTAGGTGGCACCAGAGCAGCCCTTAGTCCAGGACTCATTTTCCCTACTACCAAGGTTCAAGCCTTCTGAGTATACACACTCTATTCAATGTCCCATGAATTATGATATTTTTCTTTTCTTTTTATTTATACATGACAGCAGAATGCATTACAATTCTTACTACACATATATAGCATGATTTTTCATATCTCTGATTGTATACAAAGTATATTCATACCAATTTTTGTCTTCATACACATACTTTGGATAATAATGACCATCACATTCCTCCATCATTTCTAAACCCATGCTGCCTTTCTTCCCTTCAAACCCCTCTGCTCTATCTAATAGTTAATGGGAACACAAACTGTTCCTGGCCATGTGTAAGCTCAAGTGATTGTTCCCTCAGCTCCTTTTGCATGTTTATTTTCCCAGTTTTGGGAATGAATCATGTGCTGATTAGTACTCTAATCATATGCTGAAGAATTGAGGAGGCAAATCTCTGGAGCTTTCTGTCTGTATAGCTTTATCCTTCTGTTATACTTTTCCTATGAACTCCCAGCTCCACCTCTTTGACCCATGGAGGCTGCTGGCCCCTGCTTGATTTCTCTCTCCCTGCCTGTAGTCTGGAAATTCTCCAGTCAGGAAGCAAGGATAATCATGGGGCTTGCCTCTTGTGTTTCCTTTCTCCAAGAGATTTCTTCTTTATGCTGCCTGGTATCACATTTTTGTTTGTTTTTAGGTCAAATCTGCCTCTCCCTAACTTGTAAACACTCACAAATGTTTAGACTTTCCACTGAAGGCGTTTTAAAGAAATGGTTCCCATTTCTTTACTAGTGATCATCCAGTCTGCATATGCTAGTTTATCATGACTCTAAACATTCTCTAGATCTACCCAATTGTTTCTAATGATTATAAAAAGAATTTGTTTTTATAAATGTTACTGATATAATTTTGATCAAATTGCATTTAAAATTGACATCAGTTAATATTGTAACCCCTACTAATGCAACTTTCCCTCTGTGTACCAGTGATCCTGTCAATGAAGAAAGTATGGCCCAGTTCAAAAGCTTATTTATGTGTCAGACTTTGCAGATAACTTTTGATATTCTAAAGCAGTGTGAAGTTCAGTGAATCAGAATTGTGTCTGTAAGAAGAAAGGATGTTAACCTTCTCTTCCTGCTTTAATGTTTATGGATTGAACACTGAAGTTGTATTAGCAGTGGTTATAAGAGCAGAATCAGACCCCCAAATCTTTTTTAAAAGTTTTTTTAGTTGTAGATGGACAATGCCTTTATTTTATTTATTTTTATGTGGTGCTGAGGATTGAACCCAGTGCCTGATATTTGCCAGGTAAGTGCTCTACCACTGAGCTACAACCCCAGCCCCAGACCCCCAAATCTTAAGAACAACAGAAATCTAGCAGCAGAGGTTAGAATGGAGATGCAGAGAGTAGTCTCTATCCATAGCAATGCATGTGAAAAAGACTTGCATTTTGGTTGATTGTGAATCATTTTGACTCAATAGATGACTTAACTATTGGAATATCTAAAGAGATATTAATATGCCTTAAAAGAAACAGCAGGGCTAGGGATGTGGCTCAAGCAGTAGCGTGCTTGCCTGGCATGTGCAGGGCGCTGGGTTCGATCCTCAGCACCACATAAAAATAAAATAAAGATGTTATGTCCACCAAAAACTAAAAAATAAATATTAACAAATTCTCTCTCCCTCTCTCCCTCTCCCTCTCCCTCTCTCCCTCTCTCTCTCAAAAAGAAAGAAAGAAAGAAACAGCAAATATGCAAGAGGCCTTTCATCTGTATCTTCTTACTGCTCCACCCAATTAGTCATTGAGCCCCACTGTTTCTTCCTCCTAGGTATTTTTCAAATCTTTTTTTCCTCCTCCTTCTTGTTTGTATTCTGTTCCTCATACCTGCCCACTATCAACAGAAGTCAGCACTGGTCTGCTGCCCATTTTCTTATGGCCTATAAACTAAGTTTTCTCCGTTTTCAAATTATTGAAAAAAATGCAAAAGAATAATATCTTATGACTTGTGAAAATTATATGAAACTCAAATTTCCAAGTCCATAAATAGAGTGTTTTTGTATTGTTTATGGCTGCTTTCATACTACAGCAGCAGAGCCAGGTAGTTATGAAAGAGACTGGCTTGCAAAGCCTGTAATATTTACTCCTGGGTTTGGCCTGTATAGAAAATTTTTGCTGAGCCCTGATGTTACACTGCTGCTAGAGTGTTCATTTGGAAATGCAAAATTGATAATATCATATAACATTCCTCCTTCCAAACACTATCTTAAAATATTCAGTGGCTTATTGCATGTGGGAAAAAAAATCTATACTCTTGAGGATGATATCCAAGACTTTATACCAACTGGCACCAACCTGTTCTTTCTAGCTTCTTCCCCACCACTTCTTTCCTCCTCACCCTATCAAGCTTCTAATGTTATTAATGCTGAGATATTTGTTGTCCTTTTAATAGCTGATGTTGTTTCAAATTTATACCGTGTACTCTGCCTGATCTTCCCCTACATTTTCTACCCACAAATCCCTGTTCAAACACCTAGATCTGGCTTTAATGTCTCTCCTGTGAGCATTCTTTTTTTTTTTTTTTTTGTAGTTGTAGTTGGATGGCATGCCTTTATTTTATTTGGTTTTTGTTTGTTTGGTTTTTGTGGTTCTCAGGACTGAACCCAGTGTCTCACACATGCCAGGCAAGTACTCTGCCACTGAGCTACAGCCCCAGCCCTCCTGTGAGCGTTCTTTAGGCAGAGAAGAACTGCCCCTCCCCCATAACCCTATCACATTTTGGGCCATTAGCACTTACCAATGATTCTGTAATTGTAACTAAATTGGGAACTTGTTGGGAGTAAAGACTATGTCTTATGTTCTTCTAGTATCCAGTTCAGTATCCTGTACATAATAGATAAAATTATTTTTGAATGAATTAATGATGATTAAGATTGTGATCATGTAATACAATATATAACATTTTAAGGATACACAGCTATATAATTTTCTCTCTCTTGCTCTCTCTCTTTTAAATATATAATGTCAGAAAATGTACCTTGTGATGGAGCTTTGTGAGGATGGAGAACTCAAAGCAGTTCTGGATAGGAAAGGGCATTTCTCAGAGAATGAGACAAGGTGGATCATTCAAAGTCTTGCATCAGCTATAGCATACCTTCATACTAAGGGTAAGAAGAGGATCATCCAACTCATTGAGTCCATAATGCAGATATCACTTTTGTTTAAGGGTAATTGTATTCACAGTCATATAAATAACACTTGGTAATATAGAAGACTTGTTTGCTATTTTGTAGTTTTCCCTTTATGTATAGATACATTTTAATTAGAAACAAATAGATTCACAATTACATTTTACATAGACAAAGAAGCAGTTATGAACATTGCTTTTTTTTTTTTTTTTTGATAGTGCTGGGGATTAAACACAGACCTTTGCATGTGCTAAGCAAGCACTCTACCACTGAGCTGCACCTTGAGTCCTATGAACATTTCTGTTTAGTGATTTAAAAAGCAGACAATATATCCAAAGTAGAAAAAACAATATTAAAGGTGAAATTTCCTAAAAATTTATATATTAATAACATTAAAAATGTGTATGTTCTAGGCTTTCTTTTTTGTACTTTCAAATTTATTGTTAGAGTGCTAAGTTCACACCAAAATTGAGCAAAAGGTTCAGCAATATCCCTTAAACTCCCTGCACTCACATATATAAGGCATTTTCCACTATCAAAATCCCATACCAGAGTGTTCCAGTTATTAAAATTGATGAACCCACATTAACACATCACTATCACCCAAAGTACATAGTTTACATTAGGATTCATTGTTGGTGTTGTACATTCTGTGGGTTTTGACAAATGCATAATGATATTTATCTACTATTAAGGCATCATGTAGAGTAGTTTCACAGTACTTTAAAAACGACATTTAACGATTATTGTAATTATTCTTTGACTTTTCTGTTCTTTGATGTTACTGCTGCTGCTTTGCCTCATGCATCTTTTTTTTTTTTTTTTCTTCAAGGTTAGTTTGGCTTACCATATGACTTTAGAACTGTCTCATCTTTCAGATGAGAAAAAACTTTGTTCCCAAAAGGTTCAGTGACATGTTTGGTGGGGCAGAGCTGGTACTAGATCTCAGGTTCCTTTAGCAGATTTTTCCTGAGCGCCTATTGTACTGTTACTGATCTTAGAGTTACACAGATTAAAAGATAAGGCATCTTCCCTCAAGGAACTCAAGCTAGTGAGAGATTGAGCGTAAAAAACATTTGTAATCAAATATGAAAATTTCTCTGGTGGAGAACCCTGTGAAGTTCAAGAAACACAGGAGTGTTAATATATCATTTGATTTTGAATGTCAGAAAAGAATTCAGAGGAAACAATATTCAATCTAGGAATACAAACTTAGACAAAAAAGGGAGGGCATTCCAGACAGAGGGGAAACTGTTTTTGCAAAGGCTTAATATTATGCTCATGCCAATCCTCCCATATTAAGCTATAACTTCAGTATAATTCCAAACCAAATTTTTATAGCATTTTCCTAAAACTTGATTAGATTATTCTAAAACAGGTGAGAATAGATAGTACAACAATGAACAGCAATGAGGGAGCAGGGAGACTTGCCCTGCCAGGGATCAAAATACACCATAAGGATATATTAATTAAAACTGTGTGGTATTTATGTAAGAAAAGACAAGCAGAGGAACAGAACAATACAGGTTCCAAAAACAAAACCTGTAAATTGTGTAAGGAAAATATAAATGACTAGATATAATTACCACTGCAGGGCTCATTCAACTCCATTTTTCCAGCAATTTAAACCTTAACTTTTAAATCTAGAGAAATGATTGCTATGGATATGAATTGAATTAATTATTTGCAAAGGAAGAATTTTTACATGATTATTTGCAGGTATACAAAAATACTACTTAAACTCTAACATGTTCAACTAAAGATTTTATGTCTCAAGGATTTTTTTATTTTAACATACCAAGAGTATGAAATGTATGCTGATGTTATAGAAAAATATACTGAAATAAATATAGTTTATATACATATAGCCAAATTAAAGTGTGTTAAAATTCTTATATTGACAGTAGCACATATTTAGAAGTAAAGAATTAATCTCTTCTTTTGAAGTTCTAAGGATATGGGCAACATTACTGTACTTCTAACACCGTCTCCCTCCTCCTCGGAAGGTCACGTTGGCCAGGATCATCCTCCACACTTAACCAGGCCACACATCATGAAGAGCAACCAGTTGGGGCAACAAGGGAATGGGTAGAGATGAGGGAGACAAAAAAAAAAAAAAGGCTTCATAGGGTTAGAAATGTAGGGAAGATGGTTTGTAAGATTTATACCCTGCCCCCCACCATTCCATTTTCAGCAGTGGATTGTAATTTGTTAAATACATTTATTCGTCTTATTGATGTACCCTTTATTTTTCTGTTATACATTTCATTTGACTTGTTTGTTTTCTTGATAGATATAGTACATAGAGATCTAAAACTGGAAAACATATTGGTAAAAAGCAGCTTTGTTGATGCTAACAATGAAATGAACTTAAATATAAAGGTAAGATATTAAAAATGATGATAAATATTTCCCTATAAATAGTTTATTAGCAAAGTGGCAGAGTACAACTTTTAGATATATATCAATTGCTTTTAAGCAGCCAGAAAATAAGTTACTTGTGCTAAAAAATAAAAAATTCACAAAAGAGGTTGTAACTGACAAGAATAATTTTACAAGTGGTGTTTTTTAAAGTACATACTCATTTGGATGTTCTAAATCATTAGTTAATAGCAAGCAAACAGATGCTCTGAATTCTAATTAATTTCAGAATTATGCCTGGTAATTTGATGTAAATGTGTTACAGATTTAGAGAAAAACACACCTTGGCTGTGCTTTTGATGCTAAATTAATGCTACAGTCTGTATTTCTCATTGAAAATTTTCCTGGGTGTTAATATTTATGTCTTAAGTGCAATTACTGTGCCAAGTGTTTATTCTTGAAGATTTTATTCCTTAATGTCAAATAAATGATAGGATATATTATTTATTACTCAGCACTTTAATAGTGGCTGCTTTCAAAATACATACATGTTTTTATCTCGGAATAAAATGTTGTCTGTGAGTAACTTGCTGTTGCTGAAGCTAAGTCCTTAGAAAAAGTTCAACGCAGTACTTTTGGTTTACTGAAGTAAATGTTCCTAAATAGTTCCATTGTAAACTCCATGAAGTCAGGAATTGTGTATGTCTTATGCTCTGTTGGAACCTTGATTAGTCCCTGAGACATAGAATGTACTCAACTAATCTTTGGCAAATGAAGAAATTGATGCTCTCCAAGAACTAAATTGGATTGTGAAGGCTTTGGTCTACTTGATGTCTGTACAGGTTTTCTGTAGAGAAAGATGTATCATAATGCTCAAAGTAGGTATTTGTGAAAATGCCTGGAAAAATTGATTCATATTTTAGAAAAATAGTGATATCACATGTTAACTAGGAACATTTTCTTACTCCATAAGGTACTAAAAGCTTTGCATTTAGTGAGTACCAAGAGGCTGTATTTGGTTGTATGATGAATAGATTTGTCTGTTTTTCTGCTTTTGGCTCAAGAGTCTTCTACCATGGGAGACAAGACCAAGGGTACACACTCAATATTTAATAACCAAATGTTTAGTTACTAAGATTTAGAATGGAGCAGAAAGACTGCAGCTGCAAGCAGTAGGCCTCTAGAGTATTCTTAGTTACACTGCATTATTATAAGCTTTTTTCTTGTTAATTTGATTCTCATAGTTTTTAATAGGATAGTAATTGTTTTAATTAGTATACTCTAGAATCAAAAGGAAATCATAGTAAAGAAAAGGTAGTATTTACCAATTATAAATAACTATAAAAAGGGTATTTCAGTGAATGCCCATAAGGGTAATGATTTGATTTATAACAGTGCTTTAAACTGGAACATATCTTGAGTATCAGGAAAATAGATGATACACTAAGGCTAGAATGTATTTTGCAATGAAAAAAGTTAGATCCCTTCTTTCAAGATACAACTCCTATTTTGAACTGGTGAATTTAATCAGAGGCATGAACAAGTTCTCTCAAGATCTGAGAAACCAGATTGTGGTTTCTTCCCCACACACAGAGAGGTGGGTGGGGAGATAAAAGTCTTTTTAGTTAATACAAGTCTTTTTAGTTAATAAAAGTCTTTTTAGTTAATAAAGTTCCCACCCATAGGAATAGCTAAGTAAATGCAATTACGATGTGGTGAAAGTCCTATCTTCAGAATGAGTGAAGTCTGGAATAGGAAAATGGGTGACTATGCCTGCTTTTTTTCTTCTAGGTGACTGATTTTGGCTTGGCAGTAAAGAAACATGGTAGGGCTGAAGCCATGATGCAGGCCACATGTGGAACTCCTATCTATATGGGTAAGTTAGTAGACTTAAAAGAATTTTTTTTTCCTCTGTAAAAAGTAGAACAATTAGTGTAGAGTGCAATTTAAATGATTTGATTTTGCCATCATGACTTAATGGCCCTTGATCAAGCAACATTTTCTTTCGTAGGTTAAATAATTTCAATTGTTCTAGCATTTTTCTCATAATTCTTACTTTCAGTGATTGTTGAAATTTTTGTTGTTTCTCTGGGATCTTCTTAAAGTTATTTTTATCTCTTAGGTAATCATACCTCAAACTTACTGTTTTTGTTAAATCACACTAAAATCACATGTATGTTTTGCTTCTTTGCATTTTTGTTCAATTTTATTGCCATCAATTTTTCATAAAGATTGGTTGATTAAATGTATTTTTTAAACCAACACATTTCCTTTTTCTAAATGTAATTTTAAACAGCTTATTAAGGTTTAATTAAATACCATAAATAGGTACAATTCATTGATTTTTCATATATTCACAGAGTCATACAGCCATCATCACAATTCAGTTTTAAAACAACATATTCACAGAGTATACAGCCATTATCACAATTCTATTTCAAAAGTTCCCTCATGCCCGTTTGTACTCAATCTCATTTTTATCCTACCCTCAAGTAGCCACTGATTATTCTAGACTTCCCTCTTTTTTTCCCCCTCTCTCTAGAAATTTCTTTTCTGGATATGTCATACAAAAAGAATCATATGATAATGTGATCTTTTATACTATGATGACTTTTATGCCTTACCATAATATTTTTGAGCTACATCTATGTTGTAGAATTTGTCTCTAGTTTGTTCCTTTATATTCCTAAATAGTTATATAGCATGGGTATGCCACACTAGCTGATGCACTCGTGGTTGTTTCTAGTGTGAAGTTATTACAAATAATGCTGTTATGAACATTCATGCTGAAGTCTTTGTGAGGACATGTCGTTTCATTTTCCTTGGGTATTTACCTAAGAGTGAAATTGCTGAGTCATATGTTAAGTGTATGTTTAACTTTTTAAGAAATTGACAAACTTGTTTTCCATGGTGGCTGTTACCATTCCACCAGTAGTGTTTTAGGATTTCAATTTTTTCTCATCCTTGCCAACTCTCCAACTCTTCCCCCCACCCCACCCCACCCTGAACCCCCCTCCCACCAGTACTGGGGATAGAGCCCAGGGTCTGCTACATTCCTAGCCTTTAAAACATTTTTTATTTTGAAACAGGGTCTCACTGAGGTTGTTAAGGCTGAACTTGAACTTCCTATCTTCCTGCTTTAGCCTACGGAGAAGCTGGGATTAAAGGCATGTGCCACTGCCCTTCGCTACTTACCAACTTTTGATATTAACTATCTTTTAAATTGTAGCATTGTAGTGGGTATAAAGTGTTATATCATTGTGGTTTTTAATTTGCATTTCCTAATGGTTAATATTGTTGAGTGTCTTATTCATAATATCCTCTCTGTTGAAATGTCTTTAATATATGTGTGTGTGTGTATGTAGTTTCATTAATAGATTATAAAATGTTGAACCACTCTTGCATATTTGTAAGGTTGCTTTAATATATTGCTCTATTCAATTTGCTACCACTTTATGTAGGAACTTTGACTGTTGCTTTCTTCTTTTTGTGCTAGGGTATGCTGGCACCATTTAAAAATTAAAAACAATGTTCACTTTTTATATGCCCATGAACATTTTACATAATAGATGTTATATATTAATAGTTTGAAATTTCCCTTTAAAGGTTTTTGGTCCTGTTATCCTTTGCAAATATTGTTTCTGTTATATTTTTCATTTATACTGCATTATTTCAGTTTTCACTTCTTGAATAATTTTGATAATATTGACTGTTTTCTAGAAATTGTTATTTCATTGGCATAAATGTGCATATTGCATATATATATATATATATATATATATATATATATATATATAGTGTTAAAGAGAAGTGCTGAGGACAAAAAATTAAACAGGGAGGAGGAGGATGATAGTATCTTTTTTTATCAAGTTAAAATGAGAATTAAATGAGAAAATAGGAGTAAAGAGCTTAAAACAGTGCTTGGCACTTAGAGCTCAATTTTTGCTCCTGTACTAACACAAATTTTTATTTTTTTTTTTTGTTCAAATTTGTTAATAGTTAGAGCAGTTTCTTGGGCTTTTTAAGAACTAGCTCATATCTTACAGTATTTGGATGGCTTTTTCATAAATTTCTACTTTTATCTTTCTGAGTTCATTCTCTTTTTCTTTTGGTCTGCACATGCCTTTAATCCCAGTTTCTCTGGAGGCTAAAGCAGGAAGATAAGAAGTTCAAGGCCAGCCTCAACAACCTCAGTGAGACCCTGTTTCAAAATAAAAAAAAATTTAAAGTCTAGGAATGTAGCATGCATGAGGCCCTGTGCTCCATCCCCAGTACTCGGGGGTGGGGGGTGGAGTTAGCAAGGATGTGAAAAAATAGAAATCCTAAAATCCTAAAAAATGGAAATCCTCAGTTGAATGCTTGTTTATTATCAGTCTTCTTGTTTTCTAATAAGTACATGTAAAGCTATGAATTTTTCTTCTCTTTTGGCATACAGTGTTCTAATTGTGATTCATCTCTTACTACACTATAATTTTAGATTTAGTCTTCTTTAAGCCAACAATTATTTAGAGGTGTGTTTAGAATTTTCCAGGTGACTGGGATGTGTTTAATGTTCATGTAAATGTGAGTTTATTTTCATGACCTTTTGGATCATCTGTCTAGTTTTCTTATTGTATCTTTATGATTGTATCTTGAAGATTTTCAATTTCCCTTGATCTCTGAAAGTTATTAAAATCACCCACCAAGATAGGGTTTTAACTAGTTCTTTTTGTAGTTATAGTAGATTTTTTTTAAAAAATTCACTTTGTAGAAATAAAATTTATATACAGTAAAATACACACATTTTAAATGTAAAGTTGAATGAGTTTTAAAAACTTCATATACTCATGTAATCACCACCTCAATGAAGATTTAGAACATGTCTATCATCCTATAAAGTTCCTCTGTGTCCATTTCAGTCAACCTCCTATCTAGGTCCCAGAAACCACTGATGATTTCTATCACCACAATCAGTTTTGCTTGACTAGACATTTTATGTAAATTTAATTATATAGTATATATTCTTTTGTGCCTATCTTCTTTGGTTCCATATGATTTTGAGATTTTTTTGCATGTTGTTATATCAGTATTCATTTTTATTGCTTTTTTGCCTGCTTGATACTAAAGTTTTTAAATTGTTTTATCTTATTTTGGAAAAGGCTACTTTAGATTCTGTTCATATCTTCCCGTTGGCAAAAGACAGCTGGTCTGTAGTTACATGGGGAAAATATATCTAAGCACCCTGAGTTTTATGCCTGCTTATTAGTTGTCTACACTATAACAAGTGAGAGAACTAGAGAGAAGACAGATGGTTTGTGGAGCTTTGCTGACTTTCTAAATGGCTCCTTGGCACAGTTACTCTGGCTTCTGCCTCCCTGAGGGCTGGGATGACAGTGTAAGTAGAAATGCCCCTGATAATTAAGAACATTCTGAAAAAGTGATGCCTCGGAATTCCTAGCCCCTGCTGTATGATGCATCAATATGGTGAGCCTTCATTGTCTCCAGTCACAGGATTTACCCTTGTGATAGACACGATCATAGAACAACTTGCACTATAATGATGCAATATTTAAAGATTTTAAGTAATATTAAAGAATACAAGTACAGTAGTTGCTTAAAGGAAATTATTACTAAATTTTTAATCATTTGAAGGAAAATTAGTAAGTTTATTAATTATCTATAGTATAGCCTTTTCTCATTCTTCTCTTTCGACTTGTGTTGCTTTTTCATTCCTTTAAAGTAAAAGGCAGAGTAAAAAAGTAGAAAGGAAATTCTGTTTGCTTTCAGTAGTTATTATAAAGGTGTGTGTGTGTGTGTATGTGTGTGTGTTTCAGTGTGTAAGTGTGGGAGATTCAAACTGTTTTCTAAAAAGTTGTTTACATGCCTTTTCTGTGGGATGTGCTCTGTAGCTGTGTGGCTTTAGAGAAGTTGCTTAATATACTTCAACCTTATTTTCTTTAAATATTTTTTTCTATTTACTTTTTAGGTGTTGATGGACACAACACAATGCCTTTATTTTTATGTGGTGCTGAGGATCAAACCTGGGTCCTGCCCGTGCTAGGCGAGCGCTCTACCACTGAGCCAAAATCCCAGCCCCAACCTTATTTTTTTATTGATTAAAAGGAGTCAAATGCCTACATACCCATCTCACAGGATTCTTAACACAGTTTATTAAAAATTTTTATGCAAAAATGCTTTGTAAATTTCAAAGTTCTGTTAAGATAGATAGATAGATAATAGATAGATAGATATAATTTTAGAACTGTTTTTTTCATTAAAGATATCTGATCTATTGCTATAGAAGTGAAATGAACATATTTCTGCAATATCATATGCACCTTTTAAAAAGCCAGTTATTGCAAAAATAAAATCCAGTTTTTTTAAAAATGTACTCCCTTAAAATGGAAAGAATGATGTTATTTTGAGAAAGTTGTTTTAAGGAATCAGTTGTTTTTTTGAACATCTTTGTAAAGCAAGGATCACAGAATTGGGGAGTCATGAATACCTGAATATCCTGTGACTGACTGACTGGTTTTTTTGAAGTTTCACAAAACCTCTAACTAGCTTTTTGATCCAGTCTTGTAGGAGCTTTCTCTCTTTGTTTTGGTTTTCTCACTTATAAAATGTGGGAAATAATTTATATTCTGTCATAGGAGTACTGTGATGTTATTATTGTTATTCTTTCACTAAAGTTATTTATAACCATTTCTCTTAGTTTTTCTGTGAATTCAGATTTCTACACATTGGACTTGCTTAAATTACTTCCATTTAAGGCATGTTTTCAATTCTATTTGGGGGAAAGGGATGAGATCTTGTTGTTTTTTACTGTAACTACACAATCTTGCAAAATCATTTCCTAACATTTTCCCAGGAATAAAGAGTAGTACATTTGGTTATACAGTTCCATCATTCCATTAGAAGCTAAATGATAAGCATGAGAATACAGTGACATCAATTGTTAAGGCCTGTACATTATTCATTTAACATCTGCTGTTGTTTTTTTTTTTTTTGTTCCCAGTGGGGGAATTAATTACAACACATCAGCACATTTTTTCATGCTTTGTATTAAGCATTTAAAAGTCATTTATTGTATTATTAATACTATTTTATTTCTGCTTGTTTGGCAGCACCTGAAGTTATCAATGCCCACGACTATAGCCAGCAGTGTGACATTTGGGGCATAGGTGTCATAATGTATTATTTGTAAGTAGCCTGCTTATTGTACAGGGTAAAATAAATGGATAGACTCTGATGGTAGAATGACAATGATTTTAAATTAGAACTGAGCGATATATTTTTTAAAAAGTGATTTAAAAACCAAATGGAGAGTCATTCTAAAAAGTTCTCTTATTAGTTATCAGGTTCATCCCTTAGGTATTTTTTAATATTATAAATTTATAACTTTCAGCTTTGCTTTTCATTGATCTATAATTGCAACAATACACTATATAATCTGAGCAAAGTGAAAAACTGTCCTAAACACTTTCCTGATCCCTTTTTACAAATCAAGAACTTCTTTGTATTTTTTCATAATCTTAGTCCATCAGGTATAGGAAGGTACTGCAGCTTGGCCGTAGAGCTACCCATGTTGGCAGGACATATGTGGGGAGTGGCACTAACTAGGTAGAAATTTGTTCAGGGTCTAGGGAGTGCTCTGCATTTCCTAGTTCTTTTAATGTTACTGGAGACTACAGTGATTCTTCTTCCTCACTCTAGATTCAGTCAAACCCAAAGTCTTGTGATTTTTTTTCCTTTGAAGTATCCTTAACTATTTGATTTCTCTTCACCTTTATCATTTCTCTTTATAATCCCTTTTCTATAACATTACAGTGTCTTGTCTTTCTGTCTGTTCTTCCTGCTCTGGTCACCCTCCACAGTTAATCTTGCTGCTATTAAGGTTGTCTTTCTTTCTCTCTTTTTTAATATTTACTTTTAAGTTTTAGGTGGACACAATATCTTTATTTTATATTTTATGTGGTGCTGAGGATTGAACCCAGTGCCTCATGCAGGCTAGGCGAGCACTCTACCACTGAGCCACAACTCCAGCCCTTAAGGTTGTCTTTCTAAATATAAATTTGATCATACTATTTCTTGATTTAAAAACCTCTGATAATTACTCCTTGCTATAGAAAAGTATCAGAGCAAACTGGCATGGCATAGCTTAGCAAATCTTTCATGACCTGTCTCCAGCATGCCTTTCCTATTTTGGCCTAGGTGTATGTTCCTATGTACCTACCCTATTTTGTGGCCACTCTAGATTACTCAAACACACCCTGCGCTGCTTGCCTTTGGATGTGTGTGCATGTGTGCACCCATGCATACATGTATTCTTTTCTACAAACCTCTCTCCTGAGTGGGCCCAGTTCAAACATTCAAGTCATCTGTTTTGTACTTGTGTAAATATGATAATTGTTTACTTTGATGTGTGAACATAATGTATTTTGAAACTATAATTATATAGATTGTATACCTGTTTTTCTTGCTCTAAATTTCATGAAGAACAGAGATTTTATGTTATTCATCTTTGTATACCTGATATTTAATACAATAACAGGCACGTGTTCATGTGCTCAATATGTTTGCTAAATTGAATTAAGTGAATTGACTAAGAGGTGTTCTGAAAAGTTAGTGACCATTGTTCTGCCTCTTGGTGAGTATGAATGTTTTATGTTGATGCAACATTAGTTTTATGGTCATATTGAAGATTTCACTACTTACTACCTCTTCCAGATGGTTTCTAAATATTGACATCACAGTAGTTACATTTTCACAGCTCTGTGAAATGGAATACACAGGCAGTAGAAATTGGATGATGTTATTGTAGCTGTAACTCAGTTTGGTCAACACACATCATTGCATATACAGCAAAAAGTATAAATGTATTTGCAAATTTTTTGACCATTGTTTTGTGCTGACTAGAATCATAGTGCAAAAATTTTGAGCCCCAGTCTTTAACTAAAATATAACTCTTTTAAATTAAGCTTTTATACTCATAAGACATTCTAAGCAAGTCAAATATAATATGTATAATCAATTATTCTACAATTCACATGGTGTTTGCTTGCTGCTGCCTTTTAAAATTTTTGTTTATTTATTTTTGCTGTACTGGGGATTGAGTCCAGGGCCCCTCATGTACTAGGCAAGTGCTCTACCACTAAGCTACATTTTCAGTGTTTTCTTCTTAGTTTGAATTTGATGTTAAGGCAAGTGAGTATATTACATATCTTTAAAATCTTTCTCTTTCTTAAAGATATCATTTTAATTGTTTTGCTCCAGAGTGTAGCTGCATAACTTCATAATGGCTTCTTCTATTTTTTAAGGTATTCTTCCTTATCTAATCAGTGCATACTCATTAATCTATCTGATCCCAGTCGTGTTATAGATAATTCCTTCACCAGGAACACAAACACATTACCTTCTCCAGGGGGGTTATTTTCTTGTTTATCAGTTAGTTACCTTGGATTCATTTCTACTTAATTGGACAATGATAATATTCTTTCACAAGGTGCAATTAACAAAAATAAATACTTTCTGTGGTTACTATCATCTGCTGTTTTGATTCCTATGGATACAAAAGAAAAGGATAGGAGGACTTAAAGAGGCATTTTTTTTCATGTCTTGGATTCCCTTTTCTGAATGTGCAAGAAAATTGCCATCATAAAATTTCATATGCTGCTGATTGACCAACCATTAGATACATTTTACGTAAATAAACTTGCAAAGGACTGAAAAAAGTGGACTTTTAAAAATGTAGCCCTTAAGCTATAGTTGCATGCTCATCAGAGCAGCTAAGGAATTGGGGGATTCGCATATCACTGGTTGATAACAGACTCAATGAGCTGGGCTTTTGCTGGCCTGTACTTGTTATAATACATAGTAATCGTCCATAAGGCCATTTTTCTGCCCTTTATTTTTATGACTTTTAAAATCATGTTTGTAAACCAAAAATAGCAAGGCGAATAAGATGAGTGAGAGGCAGGTCAGAAAGTTCTGTATAAATTTTAAGTATTAAAATGAAGGTTCCATAGCAATTTGATAAATACTGGCCTCTTAACAAGATACTTCTGGTAAATGAAGAGCTCTAATCATCCAGCCTAGTTTGATAAACCAGTAGGATGAAAGTAACTTTAGTTCCTGGGAAAGTAATCATCATGAAAAACATTTATCAAATTTGACTTATTCAGAAATGTTCATGAGTTAGATTTTTGGAGAACTTGGAAAACATCACTAAAGAAAATCAGTAAAAAATGTAACTATAATTACTGAAGTATAGAATATATAAACAGGCCCAGGTTTACTGATGTTGTTGTGTATACTCAGCTTTCACTCTTTCAGAACAAGGGTCAAATCATCATTTGATTTTCCTCATCCAAGCCTTCATTTCGTACACAATGATTAATGAGTTGTGGCCATTTTAATGGCTTTTTTGGCTTTGTCTCAGAGCCTATAGAAATTATCAGCATTGTCTTTATTTATTTATTTATTTTTGTTTGTGTAGTATTTCACCATGAATAAAACTCTTATATAGTCATTCTACTCTCTAAACTCTCATTCGATTCTAACAACTCATTGTATATTTTCATAAGTTCAGTTTCCATTATGTATCTTAAGCCATTGCCTTACCCTTGCTCACATCAAACTGTATCTCCCCTATTAGCTGCTCCTGTTACGCTGTAATTAGACTCATACACTTCCTGTATTTGAACCCCATTTAAGCTTATGTTTCCTCACCTGGAAGAGCTTTAGATCATTTGCAAATCTGAAGGTTTCAGTGTATATATGTATACTTCCTCTGCCAGATCATTCTTACACCTGGAGAGATCTCTTCTTCATTTCTGTAAACATAAAAAACCACTATTTCAAAGACCTGCAGAAACTTAATTTGCAATGGCTTTATTTTGATTACATTTTAAATATTTAAACAAAATAATTGCCTTTGTTTAGGTTATGTGGAGAAGCACCCTTCTTGGCAAACTCAGAAGAAACCCTTTTTGAGTTAATAAAAAAGGGAGAACTACATTTTGAAAATCCAATCTGGAATTCCATCAGTGATTGTGGTAAGTATAGACTTGTTGTTATTTACTAACGCAAATATAATTATTATAAGAAAGTGGGCCAGTCGTAAAACTGCTTTACATCTCTATTTAGTCATAACATTTACTTTGGAAATAAATGCTAGTTACTTATAGAAATAGTGATATCTTCACTATGATTATTCATAATCAAAACTTCCCCAAGCCAGAAAATACATAGTAAAAATTGAAGAGAAAATTTGCTGATCTCTAGCTGATTTTTACTATAGACCATTAAATGAGGTAGTTTATGCAATAAAACTTCACTTTAGGCTTTTTAAAAATGTATTAGGTATTTTTACTGATAATACTTGGAATCTTTCTCTTATATTATACAGACCTAATCCTAAATAAATTAGAAAATATATGACATTAATTGTAGTTAAGAGAAATAAAATTTTTCAGGACTTTTCCCTTATTTGCAGCCAAAAGTGTTTTGAAACAACTTCTGAAAGTAGATCCAGCTCACAGAATTACCGCTAAGGAACTACTAGATAACCAGTGGTTAACAGTAAGTTGTAATAATACTTTTTTTCTATTTCTGACATGGTGCCCTTGTTCACATCTTTTCATTTGGCTTTGTAGTTTTGCATATACTCAAGTTAAAAAAGGTTGAGTCTTACCAGAAGTGGTGGCACACTATTATAATCCCAGGGTCTTGGGAGGCTGAGGTGGGAGGATATCAAGTTCAAAGCCAGCCTAAGCAACTTAGTGAGGCCCTAAGTAACTCAGTAAGATCCTGTCTCAAAATAAAATACAAAAAAAGGCAAATAAAATACAAAAAAGGGCTTGAGGTCTGGGGTTGGTGCTCAGTAGTAGGGTGCTCAGCAGTAGAGTGCTCACACTTGTTGAGACCCTGGGTTCGATTCTCAGCATCACATAAAAATAAATAAGTAAAATAAAGGTATTGTGTCCAACTACAACTAAAAAAAATGAATATTTTTTTTAAAAAGGGCTTGGGATGTGGCTCTGTGGTTAGTTAAGTGTGTTGGATAAACATATAACGGCAGCAGCACCCCAGAGAAAAACCCCAGCATGGCGTCTTCTCCTCTTTGTTTCTTTCACTGGCGCGAAACGTTCCCACCGGCACCAATGTTCAAATCCTGCTGGTGGGAAGCCTTAGCCCCAATTAGAATTAACTTCTTGGGCTCCGGAACTGACATATGGAAGAGCTTGCCAATAAACGGGCGACTGTTATCTACCTCAGCCCTGCGACCTCTCCTTAGACCTATATAAACACACAGCCTTTTGTAATAAAGTGGAAACCTCTTTGGTAATCTGTGTTGTGTGGTGCGGCATTTTTCCAGTCTTACAAAGTGCCCTAGGGTTCAGTCCCCAATTATTAAATCTTGACACACTTCTGAATTGAGCATTTTCAAATTGTTAAAACTGTTACCATAGTTGTTCATATATATTTATAGGTGCTTAAATGAACTTTGCTCTGTTATTTGTCTTGAAGATATCATGTCCAGTAGAACAGGGTTGAGAAATGTTCATTATTGAAGCTGTGGAATATTGAAGCAGTCTCTGTAGTTCAGTGATATAAAGCAGTGGAACCATGCACCTCTCTTTTAACTCTTGGATATAAGGAATCTTCGGAGATTCAGAAAAGTGAAAGTCTCCAAACAGTGGATGTTATCTAGTTTTGAATCTTAAGTAATTGTTTATTTACATATTGTTTTCCACCATTAGATTAAATACCTTGAGCATAGACCCAGTACCTTTCCTCTGTATCCTTGCTCCCAGAATATCAACCTGGCCATAGCAGGAATTTTGGAAGAAGCTGCTTCTTACCTCTCAGTTTTTCTTTTTCTTTTCTCTCTCTTCTCTTATAATAAGAATCCTGATGGTTAGCTGGAAACTTTTGCTATCTAGTTAAGACTTTATACCCCAGTCTTCTTTGCTAATCATCATGATGGTCAGTAAGATGTGAAAGGAAACGGGTATATTTTCACTTTATATGGCGAGAGGATAGCATTGTTTATGCCCTTCCTGTTTCCTAGTTACTGGAATAATGATGTGGTGGCTGGAGTTTGAGTAGTCATTTCATTTTAAAAATTTATTTTAATTGGTGCAACTCAGTTATACAGAATGGTAGTTTCCGTTATGGCATATTTGCACATACTTAAAATCCATGGTTTTGGCAGTGGAAACAGATGATGGAAGGGAGCAAGGCAGTAAGTTCTGATCTCCTCACAACACAGAAAGGAAAAGCAGAATTGAGAAAACTTTATTACAAGCTTATCTCTAGATTTGAGGAACCATGTAGAATAATAGCAACAATTTTTTTTTTTTTTTTTTGCTTTTCTAATCAGGTTGGCTCTGAAGTGATTATAGTAAATAAGGTTCAGTGGCATCTCTTAAAATGGGCTGATATTGGGATCAGCAGAGGAAACACATTGATTAAAGATATCACTACCTGGATATTTGCCTAGGGCTCTTAAGAGAAAGAAACTCACAAAATATTCCCTTACTTAAAAAAAGTGAGAACTATACCAACAGATGGATAGACATACAAACAGTATGGAAAAGCAAGGGAATATGTCATACCAAACAGCTCTTAATGCTTGAACAACTTGACTCCATCAACACCATAGTGGAGGAATTTAGAAAGTTCATAGTTAAAATGTTCTATGAGTTAAATGATGATGTAAAGAGTGAAATCGGAGACAAAAATACATGAAGTAAAAGATCATTTCAATAAAGAGATAAAGATTCTGAAAAAGAACTAAATGGAAATCCTGGATATGAAAGACTCAATAAACCAAATAAAGGCTGGGGTTGTGGCTCAGTGGTGGAATACTTGCCTAACGTGTGTGAGGCATTGGGTTCTATCCTTAGCACCACATAAAAAATAAAAATAAAGGTATTGTGTCCATCTACAACTAAAAAAATATTTAAAAAAATAAGCCAAATAAAAATGCAATGCAAAGCATCACCAGATCATTTTAAAGATAGATTTTTCAGACTCAAAAACAAAGTGTATAATCTTTTTAATTGTCAATGGACCTTTATTTTTATTTATTTATATGTGACTGAGAATTGAACTGAGTGCCTCACACATGCAAGGCAAGTGCTGTACTACTGTGCTACAATTCCAGCCCTAAAGTGTATAATCTTGAAAATGAAGTTGACCATAAAGAAAAGATATTAAGAGACCATGAACAGAATATTCAAGAAATCTGGGATAATATTAAAAGCCCAAATTTAAGAATTATCAGGGGGAGATTAAGGCTCTGAAATACAAGCTAAAGCAATGCAAATCTTTTTTTTAATGTTTTTTACTTACAGGTAGACAATATCTTTATTTTACTTTTATGTGGTGCTGAGGATCAAACCCTCAGTGCCTTGTGAATGGTAGGCAAGCACTCTACCTCTGGGCCATAACCCCAGCCCGTGCAAAATCTTTTTAATGAAATAATATCAGGAAAACTTCCAAATCTAAGAATGAAATGGAAATTCAAATACAAGAGGCATATAGGACCCCAAATATACAAAATCACAATATGCCAATACCAAGACACATTATAATGAAAATGCCTAACATACAGAGTAAGGATAGGATTTGTAGGGAGGGAGAGCATGGGAGGAAAATTACCTCATAGGGAATAGGGGTGGGAGGGAAAGGGAGGGAGAAGGGGAATAGCAAGGATAGTGGAAGGAGACAGTCATCATTATACAAAATACATGTATGAAAATGTGAATTTGGTGTCAACGTACCTTATATACAAACAGAGATATGATAAATTGTGGTATAAAGGTGTATTAAGAATTGTAATGCAAAAAAATAAGAGCTCATATATAATGGCGTAATTTGGCATGAGCATACTTTATATACAGAGTTACAAAAAATTGTGCTGTGAATGGATAATTATGAATGCAATGCATTCAACTATTGTCATATATGTAAGAAATAAAATAAAATAAAATAAAATGTACAAGAGAAAGATGGCTGGTCACATTTAGAGGTAAACTAGTACAAATTTCTTTTTTTTTTTTAAGAGAGAGAGAGAGAATTTTTTAATATTTATTTTTTAGTTTTCGGTGGACACAACATCTTTGTTTGTATGTGGTGCTGAGGATCGAACCCGGGGCCACACGCATGCCAGGCGAGCGCGCTACCGCTTTAGCCACATCACCAGCCCACTAGTACAAATTTCAACTGATTTCTCAACCCAGACCCTAAAAGACAGGAGGGCTTGGAATAATATAGATGAAGCTCTGAAAGAAAATGGATGCCAACCAAGAAGACTATATCCAGAAAAATTAAGCTTCAGAATTGAAGATGAAATAAAAACATTCCAATATAAACAGAAGCTAACAGAATTCGTAACTAGAAAGCTTGTACTACAAAACATATTTGAAATATTTCACAAAGAAGAAATGAAAAATAAAAATGAAAACCAGCACAGGGAGAAACTACACTAGAATAGTCAATTAAAGGAGAATCAAGTCTGATTTAAACATTAGAAATAAATCAAAATGGCAGAAACTAAAAATCATCTCACAATAATAACTTTTTCTTTTTGTTCTAAACTTTTTAATTGAAAAACATAGATTGGTAGATTGGATTAAAAAACAAGACCCAACAATATGCTATCTATAAGAAACTCAACTCATAGGCAAAACATCCATAGACTGAAGGTGAAAGGATGGGAAAAGACATAACATTCACATGGGACTCAAAACCCAGCAGCAATAGCTATTCTTATATTAGATAAAGAGTGAACTTCAAGCCAAAATTAATCAGAAGAAACAAAAAATGTCACTTCATAATGCTTCAGGGAATCATATAACAAGAAGATATAATGATTATAAATATTTATGCCCCAAATAATGAAACATACATAATTATGCCCCATACATGAAACAAATCCTTCTAAATATTAAGAATCAAATTGACCACAATACAATAATACTGGGTGACTTTAACATGCCTCTCTTACCACTGGATAAATCATCCAAATATAAAATAAGTTTCTACAGAACTAAAGGATACAATTAATAATATGAACTTAATAGACATCTATAGACTATTTCATTCATCAATGACTGAATTCACTTTATTCTGACCAGCACATGGAATATTTTCTATTACAGATCATATTTTAGGTCACAAGTCAAATCTTTGCAAATAGAAAAAACTACATATAATGCCTTGCATTCTATCAGATCATAATGGGATGAAATTAGAAATCAATGATAAGATAAAAACCCTGTCTAATACCTGGGGATTAAATAATACACTTTTGAATGATGAGTGGATAGCAAAGAAATCAGGGGAGAAATTAAAAACTACTTAGAGGTAAATAAGAATAGTAATACAACATATCAAAATCTTTGGGACAATATAAAGGCAGATCTAAGAGGAAAGTTCATAGCATTGAGCTGATATGTTAAAAGAAAAGGAAAGAGAAATAATAGAAAGATAACAAATAAATAATCTAACATTACATCTCAATACCCTATAAAAAGAAGAATAAACCAACATCAAAATCAGTAGAAGAGGAG